TGCTGGGACATTTACCCCTCCACGGGTCTGAGTGTTAATTATGTCTTTGTGACCAAAACGTGTCATCAAACCCACAAAACAGAATGCAAAGCCCCTGGCTGATATCACTGGAGCCTTCGGGAAGAAGATGGACTTATTACTAAATGATTCCTCAGTTTCCCTCTTAGGGAATTGCAGGCTCAAGAGGTTGTCTGTGGCGATAGAGGACAGGAAGGCGCTGTACTGCACTTATGTACAGACACATAGACACACACACAAAAAAATTTTTTTTAAGGCCAGGCAGTGGTGGTGCACACCTTTAATCCCTGTACTCAGAAGGTAGAAACAGGTGGATCTCTGTGAGTTCGAGGCCAGCCTGGTCTATATAGCTAGTTTCAGGACAGGCTTTCCAGGACAGAGAAACCCTGTCTCAAAAAACCAATACTGAAAAAAAAGATTTTTTTTTTTTTTTTGGATTTTTGAGACAGGGTTTCCCCGTAGCTTTTGGTTCCTGTCCTGGAACTAGCTCTTGTAGACCAGGCTGGCCTCGAACTCACAGAGATCTGCCTGCCTCTGCCTCCTGAGTGCTGGGATTAAAGGCATGCGCCACCACTGCAGGCAAAAGAATTATTTTTTAATTAAATAAAGCAAGACGAGTAAGACAGCTCAGTGGTAAAGTGCCTGCTGGAAAGCCTGATGACCTGAGTTCCATTCCCAGGCCTGCACAATAAATAATTATAATTTTTAAAATGTATTTAATTTGATTAACTGGATTTAATTAAGGTAAAGTAACATTCACAGGATGGTGGTGGTGCACACCTTTAATCACAGCACTTGGTTGGCAGAGGCAGGAAGTCTCTGAGTTTGAGCCCATCCTGGTCTACAGAGTTCCAGGACAGCCAGGGCTACACAGAGAAACCCTGTCTCAAACAGACAGACAGACAAAAACAAAAATAAATAACAAAAGTAACATCTTATTTCCTTCTTGTTTTGTTTTTTTGTTTTTCAAGACAGGGTTTCTCTGTGTTTAACAGCCCTAGCTGTCCTAGAACTACCTCTTGTAGACCAGGTTGGCCTCAAACTCAGAGATCCGCCTGCCTCTGCCTCCTGAGTGCTAGGACTAAAGGCATGCGCCACCACTGTCCGCTCACTCTGTTTCTTGGTACAGGGTCTTATGCATTCCACGTTGGCCTGAAACATACTACATGGCTGAGGATAATCAATTCCTCATCCCCCTGCTTCCACCTAAGTGTTGAAACTAGGTGTGTTCACATGTAATAAACACGAAACAGGAGCTGGAGAGATGGTTCAGCAAGCAATTAAAAGCAGAGGACTAGGTTCAGCTCTCAGCACCCACAGAAAGCTCACGACGGTCTTGAATTTCAGTTCCAAGGGATCTGATGCCCTCCTCTGGACTGCAGGCACCGTGCACGCACTTGGAGCATGCACATACATACATGTGAGCAAACTCAAACACATAAAATAAAAATAAGCAACTATTATAGATATAATAAAGCCTAAAAGTAAAAAGTAAAAACAGATGTTGGCTAAATGGGCAAGGGCAGGGGCAGAGCTTGCCTAACATCCCAGCGTCCACCCGCAAAAGCACAGGTATTAAAGGTGTCACTCGCGCTCCGCTCCATTGTCCCTGCACGCGAGAATACAGGGCACCGTCGTCTCGCTCTGCGTCCGGGTTCGTCCTGCCGACCGGGCATCAGCGGCGCCCCGCCTTGGCTCGAGCGGAACAATGGAGGACACCCTGAGGTGACAATGCTCCAGGCATAATTAGCATGAAGACGTGTGTTACCTATTTCTTGGCTGGACATTTAAAGTCACGCGTAAAGAGAGGTCGCGGCACCACACCTGATGGACTAAAGCGGCCTCGAGCCGCCCACGTCCGCCTGTGGGCGGGGCCGGCAGAGCTTCCTGGCGGGAACGCCCCCGACCCTCCGAGGCGCCACGAGGTGTGCGCGCTGAGAGGGCGTGGCTAAACCCGGAAGGGGCAGGAACGCGCGAGGACTTCCGCAGCCTCCTGAAGAGCCCGCCTACCACCGCGGGGCGCCAATGCGTTTCCAGAGTCGGGCTATTTTTCTTGGCTCCGCCCCAAGTCCCGTCTCTGGCCTATGAGACTAGAGCAGAGACCGGAAGGAGGCGGAGCCTCGGTCCCGCCAGAAACAAGCATCGTAGGCCCACAGCGCCCTCTGTTGATACTATCAGGAGTTGCATGGACCTAGTCCTGCCCACCACCTCATACCTAAGAGAAAAAGAGGCAAAATGCTACCTAAAGTCACCAGACTCAAATGACTCTACATAACATTTTGCAAAAAGCAAAACAATAACAAAAATATACCAGAAAAACAACACAGACTGGGGGAACACTGAGGAAGTACTAACTCCTATCTGATAGTGCATACTCAAAAAAACCAAACTCACAACCAACAAGTGTGAATTTCAGTTAATACAATTACAGTGTTGCGTGTGTGTGTGTGTGTGTGTGTGTGTGTGTGTGTGTTGTTTGTTTTGTATTTCGAGACAGGGTTTCCTGGCTGTCCTGGAACTCGCTCTGTAGACCAGGCAGGCCTCAAACTCAGAGATCCACCTGCCTCTGCTTCCTGAGTGCTGAGATTAAAGGTGTGCACCACCGCCGGTTTTTTGTTTTGCTTTGTTTTGTTTTTTAAGACAGGGTGTAGCCCTGGCCAGCCTCAAAATCATTCTTTAGAGCCCATGTTGGCCCAGCTGCCTCCTGAGCCCTGGGATTTAAGTGTGCCATGGTCCATGTGTGGAGACATGTACCTGGAAGACAACTTCCAGGAGTCAATTCTCTCCTTCCGCCCTGTGGTGGATCCCGGATCAAACCCAGGTAGGTTTGTAGCACCATCACCTGCTGATAGATCTGCCAGCACCCACTATATTGTTTTGAATACTAAATGAGTTTGGTGGCTACCAGGGATGGGGAGGATGAGAGCGACTGCTATAGGGAAAGGGTGCATTTTGAAGCTGAGATGTTTGGGATTAGATGAGTTTATTAGCATTGTGAGTAGCCTAGGTTCACCTGTAAAATGAGCAACTTTATGTAGCCCAGGCTGGCCTCGAACTCAGAGATCCACCTGCCTCTGCCTCCCCGAGTGCTGGGATTAAAGGCGTGCGCCACCACCGCCCGGCTCTAAAAGTATTTTTAAATGTTTAAATTTTTCCTGCCTTTTAATTGAAATGGGCCATGTTGTATAAACTCACAAGGTAAAGAAACCTGAAGGGCAGTCTCCACCCCAAGAGACGGAAAGCCCTTGACCTACCATCATTTGCAGTTTCCCAAGAAGGAAACAGATCAGAGGACGAGGCTGTGCTGTGAGGCTGAACTGAGCACTGGCAGGCCACAGCCACTTACACATCATGGAGAGGTTGCCTTCCTTTGAGCAGACGAGAACACTGGCCTCAGCGGATCTGAGACTCGCCCTCCAAACCCTAGCCTGAGTAAGGCCATCTTGCAGCCAGCCTCCATGTTGCTGTTCTCTGTGCCAGAACAGCAAAACCAACTTCTTCCCTGGTGGGGCAGTGTGTGCTGAGATCCGCATGCCCCCTTCCCCAACCCCCACTAAGAACAAGGAACAACTTTTCCTGGAGTCTGGGTTCTTTGGGGTGTTTTGTTTGGTCTTGGCTGTCCTGGAACTCTCTGTAGACCAGGATGGCCTCAGACTCCTGGAGATCCACCTGCCTCTGGCTGTGAGTGCTGGGATTAAAGGGGTGTGCCTCCACCTGGATTCTGGTTTATCTGAACCTGTAGTCACCTCTACGACTTAACGACTAGCCACGGCTCTGAGTTAATTCTGCTGCGTGTGGACAGAGAGCCACGTAAAATGGGCATTGCCCTCTTTCCTTTCTGCCACTGCCATGCCATCCAGACTGAGGGAGATCCGGAAACTCCAGGGCCATGTGAGCCACGGCCATGGCCACGTCGGTAAACACCGCAAGCGTTCAGGACGCGGGTACGCTGGAGGCATGCATCATCACAGGATCAACTTCGACCAATATCATCCAGGTTACTTCGGGAAAGTTGGGATGAGGCATTACCACTTAAAGAACCAGAGCTTCTGCCCGACTGTCACCCTGAATAAACTGTGGACGCTGGTCAGTGAGCAGACCCGGGCTAACGCTGCCAAGAACACGACTGGAATTGTGTGGACACCGGTCAGTGAGCAGACCCGGGTCAACGCTGTCAAGAACAAGACTGGAGTTGTGTGGACACTGGTCAGTGAGCAGACCCGGGTCAATGCTGCCAAGAACAAGAGCTGCTCCCATCGCTGATATCGTGCGATCAGGGCTACTACAAAATTCTGGGGAAGGGAAAGCTCCCTAAGCAGCCTGTCATCGTGAAAGCCAAATTTTTCAGCAGAAGAGCTGAAGAGAAGATTAAGGGTGTTGGAGGAGCCTGTGTTCTGGTGGCTTGAAGCCACTCAGGGAGGCCAATTAAATGCTAGCATTTACAAAAAAAAAAAAAAAAAAAGGGCATTCACATGGGACGCCAGCCTCAGCCGTCCCTGCTAACTGACCCCCAGTGAACTCGGTTACTCCGTGCTGGACTGCCATGGGTCAATCTTTGCACTGCTGGTGCCGCCCCAGCGTGGAAACGGGTCTTCACTCACATCTACAGGGGGATTTGTGGACTGGGGAGAAGAGGAACACAGGGGCACACACTTAGGCAGCGGTAAGGCTCATAAACCTAGAGAGCCTGAGAGCATCTATGTTCTTCCTCTAGGAGTTAAAACCCTGGCTTACGCTCCTGCCCTCCAGTGACGGTTGAGCCGTTCCCTCCACCCCAGCAGACGTCCCATTGTTGAAGAATATTCCCAGCCCACGGACTGAGGGCCCCAATCTCGTCATTGCAACGTTGCACACCATCAGGAGTGCCATTATGTTCACACAGTCCCCTCTGGATTTGGAAGTCCAGAGAATACCCCTTAGTCTAGGCCAAACAGCCCAGGCCAGGGTCCCCAGAGCAATACATCCTCAAGAAATACAGAATCTAAAAAACAAAGTACAAATTTTATTTTGTTTCTTTACAAAGGCACAATGGCCTCTTGGTATTTTGTTCCCTACCCCCACTTTCTTAACAAAATATAATAGCTTCTCCTTGGACACAAAGACCTCAAAATTGTGTAAAAAAAAAAAAAAAGAAAAAGAAAAAAGAAAAATTTAAAAAATTACAGAAACCAAAACCAAAATAAAACCAACAACGAACAAAACAAAAAGAGAGACAAAGACATTTTTGGGGTCAATGATGGAAACCCTAGAGGGAAGGTGGTAGCAGAGAATGGTCAATTCCGGTGCTGAGGTGGGGAGGGGGAGGAGAGAATGGCAGCAGCAACCCCCAACCGAGAAACAAGTAGAGCCCCAGGTCCCCAGAAAGCCCCAACCCAGCCTGACCCCCAACCCATGTAAGTGCTTAAAAGAGAAAAAAGAAAACCAAACAGGAGGGAAGGGGGCTAAGACTGACCGTCTCGGGCTGGCCCTGGGGAGGGGGAAAACACCTTGGGGTTTTGTTTGATTTTCCCTGTTCTTAAAAACACGTTTAAATGGAAGGAAAACAAACAAACAAACAGAAAAAGATTTTTGGCGGAGAGAGACCCGGCACCTCAGTGTCAGCTTCCCCGGCCCCAGGGCCGAGGCCCAGCCCTGGAGTCCCATGCTCCCACGCGTGCTATGCCACCCCAACCCTGGGACCTGGGCTTGGGTGGCTTCGATCAAAGGTCGACTTACAGTATTGAAAAAGAGGTCATAAAAGAGACCCAAATGACATCATAATTTTGTAAAAATTCCTCACTCATTCACCCATGTTTCTCCCTGTTGTTACCCCGGCCCCCTCTAACCCCAGAAGGGAGAGGAGGGCTGGGGGTGGTCAGGGAAGCTCCCCGTCCCCCAAAGGCTCCTCCCGGCTCTGGTCCATGGCGTCGCTGTCCGAGGCCTCAGAGTCCGAGGCGGTATCGGAGGTGTGAGCGTCTGCGCAACTGCGAACGGACTTCACGATCACCGCTCGTCTCTGTTCCTCCTCCAGCTCCTGCTTGTCCTGGGTGCCCTCAATGTGCTGGATTGCCTGGACAGAAAGGGACAGTCCATTAGGAGACTCAGGAGGAGACCAGGCCAGCCAGTCGGAGTGGGGGCCCTCTGCCACTGCATTCTGACCCCAAGACCAACCCCCCCAGAACTGTTCAAAAATAAATGACGGCTCCTATTTATATACAATGAAGTTCACTAACTCAGTAAAGGTCTTTGCTGTTCGCGGTATTATTCAGTCCACTGGGCATATATGCAGAAAGTTCTGGGAGCTGATAGTCTTTTTTTCCCCTTGTTTCTGTTTTCTGGGTTGTTTTACTATTTATCAACTCATTTTTTTTTTAATGTTGCTCACAGCACTGATAGGAGCCCAAGGACTACTACCCATATAAAGGCGAAAGGGGCTGGGGAGAAAATTCAGTCTGCAGAGTGAGGGCCTGGGTTCAGTCCCCAGACTCTCCAAAGTCAGGCATGTGGCAGGAACCGGTACCTGAAGGGCTGGGAGATTAGAGTCAGAAAGATCCCTACAGCTCACGGCAAGCCAGCGACCCTAACCGTGGCCAACAAGCTCCAACCACAGTCTCCTGTCTCTTGTTCCTGGGCTCCCCACCCCCACTTTCTTAACAAAATATAGTGGCAGCTCCTCAGACACAAATATCTCAAAATTATAAAACAAATAAATAAACCAAACCCAAAACAACCCCCCAAAAAGAGAGAGAGAGAGACAAAGACATTTTGGAGGTCAATAATGTGAACCCTATATATATAAAATCCTATATATATAAAATGTGAGAGGTGCCGTACATATTTAAATCCATCAGCTGCATTTAGCAATATAAACAGAATAATAACTTGGCTTACAAAAAATGCATTGTCTTTTCTAGGAAGAAAGAAAATAAATATATATGTATATATATGATTCTAATGTTCACATATGTGTGCATATATGTAATATAGGCAGATATTAGCTCAAAAACAGACATCTTTCATGTATTATATATAGATAATTGTGTATGTGTACACACACGCATGCAAGTACATGCACAGATATATACAAATCTTTCCTCAAAAATTAATAAATAAAACACTGGACATCTTTCTCCAGCGTCCAGTCCTCGCCCCTCATCAAGGAAACTTCTGTGCAACAGATAGAGACTGTTATAAAAACCACAATCGCCTCGTGCCTTTAACTGGTGGCTGAGGCAGGCAGATCTCTTGTGAGTGAGGCCAGTCTGGTCTACAGAAAAAAAAGAAAACCACAATCAATGAAAAGGCAGAGCAGTGGAGCCTGTCCCAAAGGGCACAGCTCCACTAAAGCTCCCAAGCCAGGCTCGGGGATCATTGAAAAGGAGACGGGAGGACTGTTAGAGTCAGGATCAGGGAGCTTGCTAGGAAGTCTCACCAACGTGACCGCAAAACCATGCGGTAAACAAAGACTACACCGAGAAACACGCCAAAGTGGACAAGTAAGAGCCCATGAGGCCTCACTCCTACACAAAGACCCACAGGCAACCAAGGAATCCTGAGAGCAGGAGAAACAGTCTTTCCAGGAAAGAGCACACCAATTGGTTATCCAATACCAAATAGTCAGCCTGAAAACACATATACAAGTACCATTCTAGAGGCTGAGAAAGGTGTATTGTGTATGAAAGAAAATATATACATCCACATATATGTATTTAACAACAATTAATGAGAAAAAAGGCCATGAATTTGAAAGAAAGCAAGGGGAGTGTAAGAGTTTGGGGAGAAAGGGGAAGACGAAAGTGACGCAATTATAATCTCAAAATTAAAGAAGCAGGCAGTGGTGGCAGAGGCCTTTAATCCCAGCACTCAGGAGGTAGAGGCAGGCGGATCTGAGTTTGATGCCAGCCTGCTCTACAGAGCGAGTTCTAGGACAGCCAGGGCTACACAGAAGGAGAAGACAACAAAGCCAAACCATAGTGTACAGCTCCTAAAGAACAACTCTCCAAAGTTGACATCTGACTTCCGCCCAAATGTGCACCTACACACACACACACCCCTACACATATATCACAATGTATATGAGGAAAGAAAGAAAATAAAGGAGCCATAAAGGTAAGAGAGAGTTCTGGATTGGCTCAGAGCTTCACCAGGAAGCTTCGGGCCACAAGAAGCGCATGTGCCACCAAGCTATAAACCTGGGTCTATGAGCCTTCTAACCCAAGGATATGGTGGGGAGAGCCTGTTCCTCCTGCCCTCTGACCACTAAACAGTAACGTGTATGGCACACATACACACACAATAAATCGATTTTAATTTTTTAAAAAGGAGCCTCAAGCTGGGCAGTGGTGGGACACACTTTTAATTCCGGCACTTAGATCCGTAAGTTCAAGGTCAGCCTGGTCTATAAGAGCTAGGACAGAGAAACCTTCGGGGGGAGGGGCTTGTCCCCAGCAGTCAACTCCCATGAGCCACCCTCCCCTGAGCCCAAATACCTGCACAATGGTGTCCAGATTTTGCCGGGATGTAGAAACAGAATTGATGACTGAGGAGGGGCCCATGGTGACAACATTGATGTGGTGGGAGGAAGGCGGGGCTGGCGCAGGCACGATCACTGTGGGGTGATGGGTCGGGGCTGGAGGCAGAAGCTGCAAGACAGAATTCCTCAGTCTCTCTCTCCTGCCCACCAGCCTTCCTAACACATAGGGTATCTACGAGTGTGGATTTTACATGTCCCCCCCCAAAGTCCAGGCGGTACAGGCTTGGTCTCTGGCGTGGCAGTAACAGAAAACAGAAACCTGAGGGGTTGAGCCTAAGCTAGCGTGTGGTGTGGTCACAGGAGTCAGGAAGCCAAGCAGGACAATGACAAGTTCAAGCCAATCTGGGATATAGTGAGTTCAAGGCCACATGGGAAACGTAGCGAGGCCTTCTCTTAGGAGAGCAAAATAATAATAATGGAGCCTAGGGCTGGGTGGTGATGAAGCACGCCTTCAATCCCAGCACTCAGGAGGCAGAGACAGGTGGAATTCAAGGCTAGCCTGGACTACAAAGTGAGTTCCAGGACTGCCAGGGCTGCCACACAGAGAAACCCTGTCTCAGAAAATAATGATAATAATAATGGAGCCAAGTAGAACTGGGCAGGCATATCCTGCTTCTTTCTCTCTTCAGTTTCCTAGCCATGAAGTGAGAGGTTTGGTTCCTGCCATGATACAGCACCTCACCCCACTCCAATCAATCACAGTCTGAAGCCTTCAACACTTGAGCCAAAGTACCCCTTTTCTCTTTATAAATTGATTCTTTCAGGAGCTTGTTACACTAATAGAGAGCTGACAAGCAGGGGGCGGGGGGCCTGCCAAGTCACAACCCCACCACACCTGGCGGCCCAGTGAGCAGCTTCTGTGCACTCCGGACCCTCTGGTTGCTCCACTTCCCTATGTCAAGAAGCACTTCGGAATTTAGCAACTGTTCAAGGGTTTACATCCTGGCTGGGCATGGTGGGTGAGCCCTTAATCCCAGCACTCGGGAGGCAGAAGCAGACAGATCTCTGTGAGTCCAAGGGTAGCGTGGTCTACATAGTGAGACCCTGTCTCAAAACAAACAAAAGGAGTATAGAGTCTGGTGCTGAGATGTAGCTCAGTGGTAGGATGCTTGCCTGACATGCACAAGGCCCTGGAGCCTATCACCACCATAAAAAAAGAGCATAGTTCCTGGGTTTAGACGGAAAGGGTTCAAATTCCTGCTCCTGGGCAGGTTATCTGAACTTTCTCTGCCCCATTTTCCACAGCAATAAAACACTGTAACAGTCCAAGCTTCAAAGGACCAGTGTGAGGATTCTGTTCTGTTCTAATGCACTCACGTCTCCCGCTCACCTGAGTCCGCAGGTGCTGCTGTTCCCGCTCCAGCTTCTCCTGATGCAGCAGCCGCACCTGCTCCTGCTGCTGCTGCAGCTGCACCTGCTGTGCGATCACCTTGAGTTTTTCCGGGTACATGTGGGCCTCAAGGGAGCGCACCTGTAAATGAATCGGCATAGCACTCAGAGGTGGGGCAAGACCACACCTGCCCAACCTGCTGCAAAGGCCACTTCTCACTAAAACTCCAATCCTGGGCACAGGGCGATCCTAAACCTCAAACCCTGACAGAGAGCGCCCCCTTCAGGTCAGACCAAAGGCTCTTCCTACTTCACCTCTAAACTTCTGTCTCGACTGTTCCCACCTTCTCCTTTCTTGTCTGATGGCCCATTTGCTTTTGGAAGCCACGGAGCACAACCTGGGGAACCAGGTCAAACCCCTCCTGGAGCCTCAGCTCCTGTGCAGTCTTTCTCAGCTGCAGTTTTTTGAGTGTGCATGCTGGAAGTCGGGACCAGAACTTACATACTAAGCACTCCACAACTGAGCCAAACAGCCCAGCCCTCCATTGCATTTACACCTTGCCAGGCTGTGATGGCGCATGCCTTTAATCCCAGCAATCCAGAGGCAGAGGCAGGCAAATATCTGTGAGTTCGAGGCCAGCCTGGACTATAGAGCAAAGCCACAGAGAAACCCTGTCTCGAAAATCAAAAAAAAAAAAAAAAAAGGAGAAGAAGAAGAAGAAAAACCCTTGCTGGGTGGTTGCACACTCCTTTAATCCCAACACTTGGGAGGCAGAGGCAGGCAGAGCTCTGTGAGTTTGAAGCCAGCCTGGTTTACAGAGTGAGTTCTAGGACAGCCAGAGCTACATGGAGAAAGCCTGTCTTGAAAAGGGGATGGAGAGATGGCTCAGAAGTTAAGAACACTGGCTGCTCTTCCAGAGGTCCTGAGTTCAATTCCAGATCTGATGCCCTCTTCTGGTGTGCGTGAAGACAGAGCAGTCATATACATTAAATAATTAAGTATGTAAGTAAATAAATAAATACTAAAAAAAAGAAAGAGTCGTTGGCTAATGCTTTTCACTCCTATGCAGATGGAGACTGGAGAACAGAGCCTATTCCTAGGCCAAGTATAGAGTAAGCACTCTGGTAAAGAAATACTTGGAGGGAGGAACTGAACAGAATCCATCCTCTATGCCTGGGTATCACACTGGCCAGCAGAGGGCGCTGCCTCACCTGCTCCTCCAGCATCATCCGCACAGATCGCTCCTTGTCTAACTGTTGCCGAAGCTCAATCATTTCCCTCCTAAGGTCCTCAGCCTTCTCGTCCTCCCAGATGTCAGGGGAGCCAATGCCCTCGTCCTTGTCTTCTGCCCGTCGCCGCTTGGGGGATGAGCCACTCAGCTCCTGGGGACCCCAAGAGGTTGGTGAGTGAGTTAGTTGACACACCCATAACACATCCAGAGGTCCTGGAGCTCTCCAAAGCCACCTGAGACAGGTGGACTCAATACTGGAGAATCCATTCTGCAAATCCACCAAGTAGCCAAATGCCGGGAACAGAAGGATGGACTTGCTCTCCAGAACAGTCGCCTGCTTGCTCCAGAGCCTGCTCCTCTGTCCTTCAGAGATGAAGAAACAGGCCCAGGCAAGGAGTAGGCGGGTTCTGCGGGCAAGATAAGAAGGATAGCCACCCATGCGTCCCGAGTTAGTGGTTTGGTTAGGATATGCACACACAGAAGAGAAAGGCAGGGTTTGCTGGGTGGGTTCTCCGTCCGGTACCTGGATGAAGCGCTTGAGCTGCGTGTTCTGCTGCAGGAGTCTCGTCTTCTCCTGCTCGAGAGAGAAGATGTATTCTGCTGTCTGCTGGAGAATGGCTGCCTGAGAGGAGGGAAAGAATCACGCGGCTGGTCCCCTCCCTGAGAGAACCCGGCACCTCCTCCAAGAGAACCACACGGCTGGTCCCCTCCCCGCGAGAGCGCGGCACCTCCTCCAAGAAGCCCTCCCTGCCCCTGCCCACCTTGCTGAGTTTCTCGCCATCTGTGTGGGGAATGAGAGTCTTGAGGGACTGGAAGCCCGCGTTGATGCTCTGCATGCGCCTTCGCTCGTTGCTGTTGGCAATCTCCCGCCGGATCCGCCTTTCCTGGTCCCGCTGGGTCTCGGGGGTCAGAGGAATGTTGGCAAGGCTGCCAGGGAGAACAGGAGTAGATTCAGGATTGATGTCCTCTAAAGTTTACCCCCAGAGGGCCCTGGATATAACCTGCGTCACTTCTCTAAGACGAACAGTGCCCGAGGGACTCTGGCAGGTCACCTCCACGATGACGTAGGGTTGTGCGTGCCCTGGGGTACCCAGGACTGAATCAGCTGCCCGTGGAAACGGGTAGTGTGCTTAGAACCCATCCCGTCCCTGCTTCCTTTCCTCGAATTCTCTCCTCTAGAAGAGATTCTTAGCAATACCTGGGTTCCTAACATCTACCTAGTCGGGCCAGGAAGGCCCAGAAACCTGCAGGCTAATCCCTATGATTCTAATGCAAGAGGACCCCAGACAGCAACCAGGCGCCGGCTTTCGGGGCAGTTCAAAGCTCCTTGCTGTGTATCTGGACCACCTCCTTCAGAGCTCAGACTTTGCCACTGCAGTCCGAGAAGACTGCCTAATGGCACAGCTGCCTCCAGCCACCACCCCAGCCACTTTGAGCTGAGAATGTATGAAGGTCAAGACAGGCAGCACTCACTCCAGACGGGACACTGGGTCAACCACCCCTTGGGACGGGTCTGCTTTAACCTGACCCACTCCAAGGCACAGGCACTCTGCACAGAGAATGGAGGCTCCCAGCATGCTGTGGAGGATGTCACTGCATGCTACAGAAGGCAGCCAGCAGTGGAGGGCCCAACGCCGCTGCTCCCGAGGGGTGGGCCTGTGTGTGGCCTAGAGGAGGTATACCCCCCTCCTCCTCAGCCCTTCCCTGCAACTCCCCCTCCCGCCCCTGGCCTGATGGCTTCCAGATGCTCTGCTCTCAGCAAAGGCCTTCAGCCCCACCCAAAGCCACAGTCCTGGCCTCTTCCTGAGGGGGCCCTCCCAGGGTGACCTGTTCCAGGCTAGAGCCAAGGAAGCCTGTACCCCTGGGTCTGGGAAAAAGGGGCCTCCAACACCTCTCACCTCATTGATGTGGAGTCTGAGGTCAACGGGGTGCCAGATCTAACTCTCTTGCAGTGAGCTGGCTCCTGCCTCTATCCTCAGGGAAAATGGGCTGCTGTGCAGCCCAGCAGGGGACACATCTGCAGCAGCTGGAAACAGCTGAAGCCTGTCCAGCCCCACCCAGCCTACCCCATCTGTCCTGCCTCAGCTCCCTAAAGGACCCTAGCAGCATCCCTGCCCCTTCCAGGGCCTCAGCATCCTCTCCCAACAGAAAGGATGGACAGCTGGGAATGAGTTCCCTGTTGGCTACTGCAGGCGACTTGGAGGCAAAGCAGCTCCCTTCCCACTCCATCAAGCCAGGTCCCTTCTGCCCAGGACCCCAGAGCACCCAGAATACATGGCCCCTTCTCCCTAGGTCCCCATAGGACCTAAAGGGGCCCAGGTCTCCCACAGATGAGACTTCCCTACTTAAAGCTTAGGGTGGGGATAAACAGTGTTAGGGCGGAATAGCTGGAGGTCCAGGATGCCTCCCTTTTCCCAGCCCCAAAAAGGAAGCAATGGGGCATCTGGAAGGGGACAAGGACTCAGAGCAGGACAAAGCCATGCTCCTCAGTCCTTGGGGTCTGGCCCTGAACACACCTCCTCTGGAGCCAGGGGGCCAGTGAAATCAAACACCACAGGACTTTGAAGGCAAGACTTTGAAGGATATGACGGCCCACGCCTGAATGTAAGCACTTAGGACGCAGTGCTGAAAGAGTGGGGGGGGGGGGTTTTTGAGGCCAGCCTGGGCTACACAGGAAGACGCCTGTCTCAAAAAAAACAATGAAAGAGACGAGGCGTCTGGCACCATGGCAATATGCCAGTAATACCAGCACTAGGAAGGCAAGGGCAAAATTAAGTTCAAGCTTATCCTCACCTACATCGCAAGTTCAAAGTCAGCCTGGGCTACAGACTACATGGGACCCCGACTCAAATTTTAAAAGTGGTTAGTAGGAGGGAGGATGAAGAGATGGCTAAGCAGCTAAGAGTTCTTGCTCTTCTACAGGACCTCAGTTCGGGTCCCAAAACCCACACCAGGTGGCTCCAAACTGCCTGCCCGTAACTGCAACTGCAGGGCATCGATACCCTGGCCTCTGTGGGCATCCTACACATAAACACTATAAATACATACGCATACACACATGAGAAGTCACAGAAACAAGTCACCCAGGGATTAGAATTCCCCACCCAACCCTGATTGATGCGGGAGTCTCCCCCTCAGCTCGCCCAGTCTCTGGGCCCCTGCTAATGACACCTCAAAGGCTAAAACTGATCTAACCCTGGGTCTCCAAACAGAGCTTATAACCAGCCTCAGGCTACCCAGAGGGCTAGCCTGTCTTAAGGGCCTCAGAATACCGGAGTGCAATTTTAAAAATAAATAAACGAGGTTAAGGCTGTGGTTCAGTTGATAAAGTGATTGCTTAACATGCTCAAAGTCCTAGATTCAATCCCCAGAACTCCATTTAAAAAACAAAACAAGAAAGCATAGTGTCACACATCTGTAATCCTAGAGCTAGGTAGAGGCAGGAAGATCCTGAGTTTGAGGATAATCTATGCTGTTGAATAAGACACTGTTGTCTCAGCAGGGCAGTAGTGGTGCACGCCTTTAATCCCAGCACTTGGGAGGCAGAGGCAGGCGAATCTCTGTGAGTTCGAGGCCAGTCTAGTCTATAAGAGCTAGTTCCAGGACAGGCTACAAAGCTACAGAGAAACCCTGTCTCGAAAACCAAAAGAAAAAAAAAAGACACTGTTTCAAAGAACCAGTGAGTAGACTTAAGGGTACTTGATTCCCAGGTTAGAGGAAGGGACCAGCTTCAGTAAAATGTGGCATTGGGACCCCAGAGCAAGGTGGAACAGGTTCCCCAGGAAAGGAGGGTCAGGCACCATGGAGAGTTACAATGTTGACTCCTTTGTTGCTGCTGTGTTTGTGACAAGGTTTCACTCTTACAGCCCAGACTGGCCTCACAGCAATCCTCCTGCCTCAGCCTTCCAAGTGCTGGAATCACAGGTGCTATTATTGAGACCTCTTTCTCCCTGGCTTTCACTGCAGCAGTGAACCATAGATATGGTCCTGTGCTGTGTAGAGTAGGGCAGAGCAGGCTCCAACTGGGTGTGCCCTCTGTTAAGGGCCCACACACAATCACAACCTGCACAACTAAGTGTGTGTGACTGACTCACTCTAGGCCCTACCGGGTGGGATGGCAGACAGGGTACAGCTGCAAGCAGTCCCCTGCAGTTCCCATCAACTCGGCTACCCCGGACACTGACTGGGAACCTCACAGCCCTGGCCCGGAAAGGGTCCATCACAGAACTCCCACGAGGAAGAGATCCTGGCTACCAGACGGTGAGCAGGTCCCTAGCCCAACTGCCTTGCTCAGGAACCAACTGCCAATTAACATGGTCACCCCCCGGACTCAGCTCTGAGAAAGAAACTGTCCCTGCAAAGCTGCAATTCTGCATGGGGATTGGGACTGTCTCAATGACTCGCCTAAACAACAGCCAGGAAGCTCCAGCTGGGAGTTAGCAGGTGACTGCTGAGCGGGGTGGGGGTGGGGGCGAGTGGGTGTTATAAGTGGTGGAATGTCGGTAAGCTAGCCAGGAGTTCTAGTGTGTAGAGTGTGAGCTGACCGTGAATTCTTTAAAGAAAAAAAAAACTTTTATTACTTTTTATTTTATTTGCACTAATGTTTTGCCTGCATGCATGTCTGTGTGAAGATGCCAGATCCCCTGGAACTGGAGTTAGACAGTTGTGAGCTGCCATGTGGGTGCTGGGGATTGAACCTGGGTCCTCTGGAAGAGCAGTCAGTGCTCTTAACCGCTGAGCCACCTCTCCAGCTCCCTGACGGTGAATTCTGATTGGTGGAATGCAGATCAGCTATCCTGATTGCTAACCAGCCCAGTGGTGACTTCCAGGTGATACTGCACTAGAAAAAGGAGACTTTCTTGCATATGCCTGGAAGTTCCTTACAGCTCTTTCTTGGTTTTACAAAAGCAAATTCACAGTGAGTAATCACATGGAAAAGTCCCACCCCCCCAAAACTTCAGAGTCCCCTCTGTAAGCAGTGAAGACTGCTGAGACCACGGGCTTGGGGCGACTCTGGCCTGTGATGGCAGAGATTGCTGCTGATCAGGGATTGCTTGGCTTCAGGAATAAGAAGCTGGGCCAATGGCCAAGAAACGGAATTAGGCCACCCAGCCTTGGGTTCTAAGTGCAGGGTCATTGTCCCTAGTGAAGAACAGCAGTACTCTAACCAGATGCTCTAGAGCAGGAGACAGGTGGTGGTTCACATCTGGATCCCTGATCCTCCTGCCCAGCCTGATCACCCTCTTAATTGGCCACCACCAACTTTTTCACATGGCCTGAACCCATTTAGCATCCCTAAAACACCCAGCATCTGCAATCAAAAGGTGGGAAAGGCCATGTGGAATTTCTCCCATACCCGGGAGAAGACATAGAGATGACCTCCCACCAACGGTACCCAACACGTTCATGTTTTCTCCATCACAGGCCCACTACCTCCACAGCCCTGACAGCCCCTGACCAACCTGCCCCAAGTGATTCCTGTCACAGGCACCTCTTCCCTAGCCTGCCCAGGATACAGATGCCAACACCAGCTGACAGTTGCTAGCTGTGGAACCCTAGCCACTGAAATCTCCCCATCTCAGATCTCCCCACGTTCATGAAGTGGCAATACTGCCTTATGCAGGATCGTGGTGACGTTGAATAGAATTCAGTATAACAAGAGGAAGAAAGAATGGCCTATTTCCCTGGAGGTTTTCAGTACCCAGGTACCCAGGTACCCAGCCTCTCAGGGAGCTGACAAAACCCTTCAGCATCCTGAATCAGTGAGCTGCCATGGACAGGGGTCAGGGCTTATTACTATATCCTTAGCCCCAGCATCAAGCTGGTGCTTCATAAATACATGATCAGAGACCAAACAAGCATGCCAAAGTTATTTTGTTTTTAGACAGCATTTCTTTGTGTAGCCCTGGCTGTCCTGAAACTCACTCTGTAGATCAGGCTGGCCTAGATCTCAAGAGATCCACCTGCCTCTTCCTCCCCAGTGCTGAGATTAAAGGTATGCACCACCACCACCCGGCCATGCCAAATTCCTTTTTTATTTTTAAGAAAGCAATTTATTTTTTTTCACAGTTTTCTAATGTGCATTGCTGGGTTTTTTTTATCCTTGTATGTTATGTCTATGTGAGGGTGTCAGATCTCCTGGAAGTGGATTGAACCTGCGTCTTTGGAAAAGCAGCCAGTACTTAACCACTGATCCATCTCTCCAGCCCTTGCCAAAGTTCTTAATAATGACACCACTTTTCTTTTTTCTTTTAAAACAGGATCTCTATGTAGCCCTGGCTGTTCTGGAACTTGCTACATAGACCAGGCTGGCTTCAAACTCAAGAGATGTCTACCTGCAGGACTCTGGGATTAAACTCAGGTCATTAGGTTTGTCCATAGGGACCTTTACCGACGAAGCCAGCTTGTCAACCCTTAAAGGAGCCTTCAAAGAGTTTATAAGAGACACAGAGGAACACAAGCTTGAAACTCCAGTACTTGTGGGTGGAGGTGGGAGGATCAGGAGTCCAAGGTCATTTTAGCCTACAAATCAAGTTGGAGACCAACGTGGACTAAATGAGAACCTACTGTTTACTAAAGGGGGTGGGGCACTAAGGAGATGGCTCGGCCTGAATTCTGACCCCCCCCCCCCCGCATCCACATAAAGGCTGGACACAGTGCACACCTAGGAGCTGGGGGTGCGTTGGAGACAAGCGGATCCCTGGAGCCCCTTAACCCCAGCCAGGGGCACCAAACTGATAAGCTCCAGATCTGGTTCAAGACCTCTTCTAAAATACAAGGACAAGATGTTGGCCGTGGTAGTTTTTTGTTTTTGTTTTTGTTTGTTTGTTTTTTTTGGTTTTTCAAGACAGGGTTTCTCTGTGGCTTTGGAGCCTGTCCTGGAACTAGCTCTGTAGACCAGGCTGGTCTCGAACTCACAGAGATCCGCCGTGGTAGTTTACATCAGTAAGTTACGCTAAGAAGGAAGCAGGAGGATCCCAAGTTTGAGGCCAGCCTGGGATACACAGCTGGGCTGGAGAAATGGTTAAGAGTAGTTGAGAGAACATTCCAGATGACCCAGGTTTAATTGCCAGTGCCCACACTGCAGCTCACACTGTCTGTAACCACAATTCCAGGGGATCTGATGCCCTCTTCTGGCTTCTGAGGGCAGGGCACACATGCGCTGCACAGATATGCAGGCAGGCAGAACACCCATACACATTTTAAAATATTGGAATTTTAAAAATTAAATAAAGAGTATAAGGAAACAAATAAGGTGGGGAATGTTAGGTCTCCAACTCAGGACGAATGGCTGAGGTGCCTATCTAATACATCGAAGGGGACGCTGGCCACCAGGTTCTCCCAGCATCTCTCCACCTGTTACAGAGTCATCCTGGTTGGTATACCCCGCCCCCTACCCTAGCCGCTCCAGTCCAATCCCCGGGGTTGTCTCCCCGCCTCCCACCCCCCAACCTCTAATCCCTATATAATATCAACCATTTTTGGCTACCGCCTCTTTGCTTCTCAGTCTCCGGGTTCCCAGGTGCTCTCTTTGCTCCCTCTCTCTCCTCTTCCTCACTTGCCCCAGCCCCTTCCCATGGCCAGGTTCAGTCTGGATCTTCCAGGTGCCTCTGGCTGTGCTCTCCCTCAAATCTACAGAAACCCTTCTCCTCAGCCGTACCGCGGAGCAGTCATGTCCTCCTTTTTTTCTCATTCATCTGGTGCTGAAGAGGGACAACTGAGGAAGTCATTCAACTTTGACCTGTGGCCTCCACATGCACACAGACATTTACACGGACAGAAACCACCTTGCACCTGCCTCTCAGAGTCTGAATTTCACCTTCTAGGCACTTCCTACATCCAGTTCTCACAAAACCATTAGGCAATAGGTCCAAAACTTCAAGCCAAACTTGAAATGGGCTACAGCCCAGGAGGCATAGGAGCCAGACAGGGAGGGGTGGAGCAAAGTCCAATAACCTGAGATAAACTGGAGTCAATCAATCCACCTTAAGGTCCTGCCCAGCCCACACTCCATCCTGGACAGGCCTCCCAGCTGTGGCTCCAGCTGAAAATGAACACACACAGAGGCTGGAGCTCCAGTGAACAGCCAACAACTGTTTCGGTGTAGGACAGGCAGAGAACCTGTGTACCTGTAGGCAGGTTGTACTACTTCAATCACTAGACCTGACAACACTCGATGCTCCTAGGGAGATCTACTGCCTTCCTCCAACACAGGGCTGGAGAATGGGCAGAGTGAAACCTTCTCAAGCCTAGGCAGCATCAGAACCAGAACCTAGAGCCGGATCAAGTTTCACTCCCTACTCCCTAGTCCAGCTCAGAGAAGCCAGCGCCACACAGCAAACTCGGGGTTCAAGTCCGCCTGTACCATTTGCTCTAACTGGTCCCTTCTTAGCTTCTGTATCCATTTTTACAAAGAAACCAAAAAATAAATCAACTCACAGCAAGACTGTGACCATTCAATGAGAAAATCCTAGCAAGAGAGTCCCCAGAATATTTACAGAGTCCAAGAGTTTGGTTGTTGCTGTTTTGTACCGCTGCTGGGCCCTTGTCTTAGTGCCAACTGAGGGTGGGGAAGGGGACGCAGAGGAGGGCTGCCAGCTGCTCGACCCATCAACAGACCATCTATCCCCCCAGGTATTGGCTCTCAACTTGAGAGTAAAGTGGGATACCTGCCCGGATTTTATACCTAGGCAGCAACCTGCCCCACAGGCTTTGCAGTTTACCAGTCCGTGCCACTCAGCGGGCTCCTCCTCCTTCAATCCCAGCCTTGCCTGACTGGGGTGTCTGAGCACGTGGCCCCAGCCCTGGGGAGCCATTACGCTCCTAGAGCAGCGCGGCAGGCAGGAAAGGGATCGTAGGTTTCAAACTTAAGCGCGCTGGAGAAACCTCTCCTGGCGTGCACCACCACCATTCCCGCCCCGACCCAGCAGGCTTGTAAGGCTCAATGAACAGACGCCAGGGCCGGCAATAGATGTTCCAGGCATGACCATTTAACAAGAGTCCAAGGTGATTCGGCCACTGGTTGCCGCGATTTGGTAGAGGATAGATCTGGGGCAACCTAAGTAGGGTCAAGCTCACTAAACGGTGTCTTGGGAGAGCGTGCAGACCTCCAACCACCCACCCAGTCAGGAGACTCAACGCTTTGCATTTATGATTAGGGAACAGACATGGGACCGCAAAGTTTGCAGAGGAGACCCTCATGCAACAGGGTCTTGAACCCTAGAAGCAGCCTCAGGTACTCTTTTTCCCAAAAGATCTCCCCCACCTGGCCTGCCTAGCCCACCCAGTTGGCTACGGTCGAGCTTTGTGCAAGTAAAGCGTGGCCCCGAAGCGCCTACAAGTCCCACAATGCAGCACCGACCCGGCATGGAGAACTACAGCTCCCGCGAGGCCACGCGCGCAGAGGTCCGCCTACTCCAAGAGGGCTGCAGAGTCACGTCCAGGCCTCGCTAGTAAACAGCGCCCGGGCGCGGGCGGGCGGCGGGCAAGCAAGCTAGTGACTGCCAACGTGTGGGGGACCGCGGCTTCCCTGCTGGCAGCGCGGCCACTAAGGGTCCACGTACGGCCCGCAGCCCCGGGCGAGCACGCCCCCAGCCCTGCAGCAGCCCTGTTCTCTGCAAGCGCTCACACCACCCGGCTCCCCGCCCCCCCCCCAGCCTGGAGCCGAGGCATGGCTGCATTGTAGCTGTCCTCAGGCACGCCCCGGACCCCCCAAAAACGTCCTTAGAAAAGGGTTCCCAGAAAGCGCGAGGAAGCAAGAAAAGGAAGGAAGCCAAAGCGGGCGGGGGGAGGAGGAAGCGCGGGTGAAAGCCACCAGCAGCAAGCATGGCCGGGACTGCTGCAGCACCACGTGGGTCTGTTTGCAATTTACAAACGTCGCGACTCGCCCGCCTGCAGCGGACAAAAGTGGCCAGGGCCTTTCGGGGTTCCCATGTTCCGAGGGAAGAGGGTCCCCAGGCAGCGAGAGCCGGGCAAATGAGACTGCAGCCGACCCGGTGGCTAAGAAAGGCGAGCGAGGTCGGAGGCGCGGGCCATGCGTGCGCACACGCGCACCGGCCCGGGCGGGCTGGCCGGGGGCTGCAATGGGAAGAAGGGGTTGGGGGGGGAGGAGCAGTACACACCTACAGAGCCCTCCTATCACTTCTTTCTCTGTTTTCCTGAAATGTTGCAAAGAGGGCACCTTCTGAGTAGGCACCATGAAATACTCCATAGCGATAGGCCCCCCTCCTCTGCACGAGCCAGGTCTCGCGGTCAGCCGGAGAATGCAAGATGGAAATCCGAATCAAAGGGCAGCGCCGGACGGAGGTGCAGAATCGGCCGGTCCCAGATGCTGGCGGCGGCAGCAGCGGCGAGGGGAGGGAGGCGGGCGGGAGGGGCGGGAGGGAGGTCTCTCCAGCCTGCCTCCCCGGGCGTGTGTATGTGTGTGTGTTTGCAGCTGATCAGATGTCTGTTTCAAGGCGGGAAACAGCTGGTGAAAACTCAGCACTCCCCCGGCCTCCTTCCGCGGAGTAAGGAATTGCATGTAAACAAAGGACTATTTGCAGCGCCCCCCCACGGGCGGCTGGAAGCTGGGGCGAGAAGGGCGCAGGCTCCTTGCGACCGACTGCAACCTGGGTCTGCAGACCTAACCCCGGGATCAGGGGTTCCCGGTCGCCAGCTAGCTGTGAGGGACACGGTGTGAATGGAATGAGCAGCAGCCCGGCTACATGCGCCACTATGGGTGATGAGGTCCATCAGCTGACAGGTTGGCAAGCGTAGCTAAAAAAAAAAAAAAAAAAAAAAAAAAAAAAATGGCCAGCCACCGCGCGGGATCCCAGACTGTGCAGCTCAGGGTCCAGTGGGGACTGCCCAGCGCAGGGTCTATGTGCACCGCTGCCCTGGGGGACGTGCGCTGGGCGGGGCTGCAGCGGCAAAAGGAAAGCTCCCTCGGGTGCGTGCTCCGGGATTTTGCTTTTTCATGATTGCCACTGCACGGAGCGGAGCCGCTCTGGCGCGCTCCCTTTCGAGCCGACCCGGGCCCCCTGGAAACTTGCGTCATAGCCACCGCTTCCCACATGTAACTTGGGGCTGACTCTGACCACCCGCCAGCCTCCTCCCTCCGTCTCTGCCTAGCTGGCTTCACGGCCCGGACTCTGGCTGGAGCCTAGAAATTACAAAGTGCGAAGGGTACAGATGGCAAAGGCAGGTGTGCAGGGCACCTCGGATGCTGGGGCTGTCCTAGGAAGGAAGAGCAAGCGGAAAGGGAGGGAAGGGCGGAGGCAAGCCAAAACAGCAGCGGCCTCTGGGGGCAGGCTGCCAGCGCGGCCCGAAGATCCATTAGAGGTCTGGTGGTGGCTGCCAGGTCCTGTCCTGGCTCCTTCTCTACTTTTAACTTTACGGCTTCGCGCGCAGCGGGCTGCAGCTTCTCATTCATGGGGAAGGCGGGGTGGAACTTGCTCCACCGCCAGAGGGCGCTCTCTACTATGGGGGGGCGTGATGATCGGGGGAGGAGGGAGGGACACTTTAGGGGTGAGCTTCCGTCCTCTGTCACGCCCCCACCTTCCGGTCCCAGGCTCCTGGAGGGCTTGGCCCCAAGCTCAGGAAGCCCACGCCTGCCTTGGAATGTCCTCACTTCTGCTCAGCGCCTTTCCCAGCCCCATCCGCCTTTCAAGGTTCCACCCAAATCGCACCTCTTAGTTGAAATACTTCTATTAATAACAATTGTTAGTTATTATTAGGGAACATTGTTATTAGATATTACCAGCATCCAGGACATGTCTAGTTAGTTTTGCGTGCATATTTATTAGTATTCAGATCAACCTGTTAAACAATTTCTGTTTAGATCCCAGATCAATTAGCATTTAATTCCCAGGGAGACTTAAAATGCAGCACATCCTAGCCAGCTGTGCAGTGCACACCTGTAATCCAACATTCTAGCACTTGGAGATGGAAGACAGAAGATGTGCATCCAAGGATAGCTGTAGAGACTGTCCCTAGAAGAGACAGAAGGAAACGGAAGAAAGCAGGAGGGCAGGTGAAATGGCTTCGTAGGTTAGGATGTTTGCCGTCAAGTCTGACGACCTGTGTTCAATTCCCAGAACCTCCATGGGACAGGGACAGAACCAACTCCCACAAGTTGTCCCCTGACCTTGGCATGGGCACCGTGCCACGTACATACATACATAAAAATTTAAGAAAATGGAAAGGAAGGAAAGAATATGAAAAAGGGCATCCTCGAATCCTTGGGAAGCTCAAGTTTTTCTTTAACGTGTATGAATATTTTGCCGGAGAATACATCTGCGCCCCGGGTGTGCACCTGGTGCCCTATGAGACCAGAAGAAAGCATTAGCTCCCCTGGAACTGGAGTTGGGGAGGGTTGT